AGATATGTAAATATTTATGTTTTTTAATTTTACAAATTATGTACGTGGTAATGATTTTCTTGTTTTCAAAAGGCCCCAAATACTCTTTTTACAAACCCATTTCCTCCTCTTCCTTGGCACACAGCTAAATTTCATTTCCCAACCTTCCTTGCAATTACATGTGGCCATGTGACCAAGTCCTAGACCAATGGTATGTGGGGCAGAGGTGATGTGCATTTCCTACATGCTGAGCCAATAAAAGCCCTGAAAAGGATCTGCCTTTCCTAGTCTGCTGAAGACTGGAAAGGATCCAGGGAAAAATTCTGAGGCCCTAAAGGATACAGAGCCACTAGATGTAAGGAGTCACTGCCCACCATCACCCCGCCCTATATCGACCTACACTGGATTGTGATGTAAACGACAAAACATTTATTGTATAGAACTGCTAATATTGGGGGGTTGTTTAGGTATAGCAGTTAGCATAACCTGACTAATGTACCACTATAAAAATTTTTCCAAACCCTCTACTATAAGGAATCCTATGAAGAAATTCCTTTTATAATCTATAGGTAGGTATTATAGGTCTGCCTTTAAAATATATCCTAAATCTAACCTTTTCTTATCATTCCCATTTCTATCATTCTCTCACCTGGCTTTCCTCTTCACACAATAGAACTGAAACCTGTTACTGTGGTCTAAAAGGACCTACATAATCTCACCCCCTCAAACTTTACCTTTCTCTCACTCTACTATACTCAAACCTCACTTGTCTTTATTGTGTTTTTAAGCTTATGATTTTTTCTTTTTCAAGCATTTTATTTTTTTATTTTTTTGTTGTTATTTTAACATATTATGGGGGGTACAAGTGTTAAAGTTATGTATATTGCCCATGCCCCCTCCCCCCCTCGACTAAGAGCTTCAAGCGTGTCCATCCCCCAAATGTTGCACATCTTACTCATTGTGGTTGTATATACCCATCCCCTCCTCCCTCCTCCCACCTGCCCGACACCCGATAAATGTTATTCCTATATGTCCACTTAGGTGTTGATCTGTTAATACCAATTTGCTGATGAGTACATGTGGTGCTTGTTTTTCCATTCTTGAGATACTTTACTTTGTAGAATGGGTTCCAGCTCTAGCCAGGAGTATACAAAAGGTGCTATATCACCGTTGTTTCTTAAAGCTGAGTAGTACTCCATGGTATACATATACCACATTTTATTAATACACTCATGAATTGATGGGCACTTGAGTTGTTTCCACAGATTTGCAATTGCTTCAGAACATTTATATTCCCTTCCTGCTCTCTCTACCTGAACCTTCTTTCATATGAGGCCTCTGCTCAAATGAAAATTCCTCAGAGAGGCTTTTCTTTACTACCTTACCTAAAATAACACTCTATCCCCATCTTCCATCACTCTATTCCCCTTATCCTGATTTATTTTTTATCAGAGAAGTTGGTATACTACCTAAAAATTATTATTTATTTGAGTTTTTTAATTGTCTAACTTGCTCATTAAAAGATAAAAGGTTCCTGCCTCTAGGAAGCAAGAAAAAAAAAAAAAAAGATAAAAGGATTCAGCTTTTTCATCACTGGCAGCCACAACTAAATATATATATATATATTTTTTTTTTTTTTTTTTTTTTGAGACAAAGTCAGCCTAGTTCAAAGCAACCTCAAACTCCTGGGCTCAAACAATCCTTCTGCCTCAGCCTCCCGAATAGTTGGGACTACAGGCATGTGCCACTATGCCTGGCTGATTTTTTTTTCTATTTCTGATAGAGATGGCGTCTCGCTCTTGCTCAGGCTGATCTTGAACTCCTGAGCTCAAACGATCCACCTGCCTCAGTCTCCCAGAGTTCCCGGAATATAGGCGTGAGCCACCATGCCCGGACAAAAATATAATTTGTTGAAGGAATAAGCAATTTAACATATAAATTAATTAATGCTTTTTAAAAATCATTTTTATTGCTTAAGGTAGTCACTTTACTAAATTTCACAACTTTTTTCCCTTTTTCCTATTGACTTTCTCATCTATGTTCATGCATAATATATATATACTGCTTTGACTTCCTTTAAGAGCTGTTTTCAGTAATAATTTGAGAATGTCTGACTTTTTAAAAAATGAGCAAGTTGGCCAGGACACTGGCTCACCCGTGTAATCCTAGCATTTTGGGAGGCCAAGGTGGGAGGATCACTTGAGGTCAGGAATTTGAGTTTGCAATGAGCTATGAGGATGCCTCTGCTCTCTAGCCCACTGCACTCCAGCCCTAGCAAAAGATGTCAACAGAGTTAGACTCTGTCTCAAAGAAAAAGGAAAAAGAACAAGTAAGCAAAGACCTTTTCTAAGGAGGTAATCAATGATTCCGAATCAGTAAGTTTATCTAGCAATATGGATGGAACAGTGGAGTCTAGAAATGAAGGTTAACTATTGGCGATTTTATGCAGCTGCAACCTCAAGAATACTGTTAAAGGACAATGTTTCCATAACCCTAGTAAAGGAGCAAGAAATAATAAGAAAATGAAAAAAATTTTAAACTAAGAAGAGTAGATAAGCTGTTATATTCATATGTTAATATTCACATAATGAAACATTACTCGACAACAAAAAAGAATGAACTATTGATATCACAATAGCTAAAACACTATGTTAAGCAAAAGAAGCCAGACACAAAAAGCACACAGTTATGGTCACACCAAGAAGAGACAAAACTAATCTACAGTGGGAGAAATCAAAAAGTACAGATGGGTAGGGAAGAAGAGATTGACTGTAACAAGAAAAAACTTTCTGGGGTTGATGCAAATGTTCTATGTCTTATTTTTTGTGGTGGTTACACTAGTGTATACCATTTTCAAAACTGCAACTTACACTTATGATCTGTACATTGTATTTAAATGTTCTTCAGTTAAAATGAATTTTAAAAAGATACCACCACACATCTAGGAATAAATATAACCAAAGATATGTAAGGTTTCAAGAAAACATACACAGAGGAACATTCAATGTCATTAAGAAGCCAATTCTCCTCCAAATTGATCTATGGATTCAAAACAATCCCAAACAAAACTCTAGTAGACTTTCTGGAACAAATTAACAAGCTAATTCTTAATGTATTAGCTTAAGAAATCTAATGGAAATCTAATGGACTGGAAATCTAATGGACTTAGAATAGCTAAGACAATCTTAAAGAACAAAGTTGGAGGACTTATACTACCAAATATCAAGACTTATTATAAAGCCACAAGAAAGATGCTGTAGTACTTGGTACAGAGACACAGAGAATCCAGAAACAGGACCCTATAGATTAATGTCTTAATTTAAAACAAAGATGCCACTGCAATTCAGCATGGGGAAAGGGAAGCCTTTTAAGTCAATGGTGCTAGACCAATTAGATACCTGGAAACATTAATTCACAGACAAAAATCACTTTAAGATGGATCATAGACCATAAAAGATAATTTAAAAAAACGCTTCTAGAAGAGATCTAAGAATATTTTCATGAACTTAGAGTAGGCAAAGTTTCTCAAACAGATAACAGAAAGCACTAACTACTAAGTATAAAAGAAAAACATGATAAATTTGACTTTATTAAAATTAACAACTTCTATTCATCAAAAGACATCAAGAGAGTAAAAAGACAAGTCATAGACTAGAAGATATCTGCAACACACATATCCAACAAAAGACCTATATCCAGATTACTTTAAAAATCTACAAAATAGGTGAAAGACAGCCCAATGTTTTTAAATGAGCAAAAGACTTAAACACGCTCTTAAGAGGATATCTAACTGGCCAATAAGGATATGAAAAAGAATTTCAACATCTGTGGTAGACTAGATTACTGGTCAAAAGTATTCACTTCCTACTCTCATACCCATTGTAGACATATACTTCCCTAACCTTGAATTTGGGCTAAACCATGACTTAGTTTAAAGAATGGGAGGTCAGCAAACATGACATAAACAGGATAATGACATAAATGACATAAACATGCCTTCTCCCACTTGTGCCAACACCACGAAAAAAAAACATGCCTCATCTAGCCTACTAGCCCCAGAAGGAAGATGAGATACATAGGACAGAGCTGTCCCATACGGCCCACAGATTCAAAACCAAGAAATAAGTATTTGTTATATGTCACTGGAGACTTTCAAATTGTTAACTGGTAATAATTGGCTAATATAGTTATCATTAGTCACCAGAGAAATCAAAATCACCATGGGACACTACCAAACCTCCATCAAAATGGTTTATGTTCACTAAAAAATATGTAAAAGAATGCTCATTTGAAGTTCATTCAAAATAGCAAAAAAGTGAAAACAATCAAAATGTCCATCAACCATAGAATTAATAAATGGGATACAATATAGCAATAAAAAAGAATTGCTGATACATATACAACATGAATCTTGCAGACACAATGTTGAAAAAAGCCAGATATAAGAGTACATACTAAATTATCCCATTTATATGAAATTCACAAATAGACAAAATAAACCTATGGTTATAAATATCAGAAGTGTAGTTAACATTAGGGGAGAGAGAGTTATTAATAAATAGGCATGGCACTAAAGAGAGCCTTATGAAATTTATAAACATTCTATATCTTGATCTAGGTGGTGGAGAAATAGGCATATACATATATAAAAACTTTAAACTGTGAACAACAAAGATTTGTGCACTTTACTATATGTCAATAAAAAAAGAAAAAGAAGGGGAAAACCTCAACATAATTAAGAGGTTGGTTATTTGAAGTGGTATTCAATGTAAGAAATGTTGATTATCAGTCTAATATTGTAATTATTACTATACAAATTAAAACTGTCTCAAAATTACACTTTAACATAATGACTTAATACCTAGGGAAAGCAAAAAATTAGCATCCAGTTTAAACATTATTCCAAATATCTATTTTTAAATATTACGTTATTTTAGCAGTTTCAAAACAAACTGACCATTTGCATTTCTATTGGACACCATATGGAGAGTAGACTATAACCAAACATAAATCTTACATACCTTAAAATCCTTCCTTCCACAAGATATATTTCCATTGTTTGTAAAATGAGATTTTATGTTCTTGATACAACAGTATAATATGGATAAAGTACTTGTAAAGCTTCTGTGCTTTTATCTATTTAAGTTATAAAATTCCAGAAACTTCAAAATGTTAACTCATTCTAATAAAAAATCTTAGGGCTATAAACAATTTTTCTATTGTTTTACTCTGCTAATTTTCTACTCTATAGAAACCCCATCAAGTTCATGTGTAAGTATAACACAAAGCATAGTTTAACAGAATGCCTAAGAATCCTACAATTCTTTAGAACTCCTAATGAAAATTAAAAAATTCTATTTGTAATTTAAAAAGGAAAGAAAATTATAAATGATTTTTTTCTAAGTCATTTATTCTGAAATTTCCTTTTACTAGTTCTATTTACTTGTATTTGCCTACGAGACTATCAAATCACCCCCTCACACAGTTCTTATGGAAAAAAATTGTACTACCAACAGCTTTCTTACTAGGCCCCCATTCTCTAAATAAAGGTATTAAGTGAACATGTCTTTATGTGGCATTTCAGCAGTACTTCACTTCCACGTGTCTGAAATTCTGTAGCACTTTATTTATTTTACTTATAACTTTAAAAAAATAGCTCCTCTTTATTGAGAATATATAGACACTCATGTGTGTTTTATATGTATTACTTCATATAAGTAGCACATTTAATAATAGTACATTTATAAATGTGCTATTATACCCATTTACAGATGAAGAAACTGATGTCACAGAGGTTATGTGATGTTCCCAAGATAATACAACTAGTATTTGGATGATTTCGGATTAGAAACTAGTTCCCAATTTCAAAACAAAAAATTTTTTTTAAATCCCAATTTCTTTGTCCAGTTTATAGTAGTACTCCACTCTACCAACTGAGCTGTGGAAGGGTGCACAAAAATTCCATTTCTTAACCAATATACTACACTTAGCACAATGTACCATAATAGTAACAGCGACAAACATTCACATACTGCATGTTTTAATCATTCCATCCTAGTAACTCGAATGAAAGATACTATTATCCCTTCCTGTTTTATAGATCAAGAAAGTGAAGCATACAGACATTGCCATTTGTCTAAGGTTATGGGCAAGTATATGGCAGAACCAAGATCTCGACCTTAGTATTCTGAGGCTCCAAATCTGGGCTCTTAACCACCATGTTACTTTGCCTTTCATAAACTGCCTTATATTATAGTTGATAAGGGACATATCATATTTCCTTTATGAAATCATAAGCTCTTGGATAGCAAAGACCAAGGTTTCTGGCCCTCCTAGACCTCAGCATTATACCTTCCCTAACACAGGGACTGGTAAACAATAAGGGGACACTAAAAGGTACACTGGAGTCCTAAAGAAGGCTTCTTTGCAATAGTGATGCTTGAACTTAGCCTTGCCACCAAACTCCAAAATTGTATATCTAATTGTCTAATGCATAGTTGGTGGTCTCCCCTTCTAATATATAGGTTTCTGAGGGTAGAACATTTCTTTGCCTTTTATCTGCTACACAATCTTTAGTACCAAATAGAACTCTAAAAGATGTTTGTTAAATATGCAGAACTCTATTATAAGGGATAATTCCAATCCCCACTATCAACAGAATCAGTAAGAGATCTCCAGGGGGTGCAGTGTCTCATGCCTATAATCCTTACACTCTGCGAGGCCAAGGCAGGAGGATAGCTTGAGGTCAGGAGTTCGAGACCAGCTTGAGCAAGAGCAAGACCCTGTCTCTACTAAAAATAGAAAAAATTAGCCAGGTGTGGTGGCACACAACTGTAGTCAGTGACAGAGCAAGACACTGTCTCTTAAAAAAAAAAAAAAAAAAGAAAGAAAGAAAGAAAAAGAAAAAGAAAAACCTGGGGGAAACATGTAGGTCTCCAATATGGCTGCCACCTGGCCCTACAGGCTGACTGCTCTGGGAGTGGGTGACACCCAGTTCCTTGGTGTCCTGTGGCTCATCTAAATCACCACAGGCCCAGGATATGCCACCGGGGACAGGAGTTGCTTAAGTGCAAGGACGTCAAAGTGGGACAATATATCTGTAAAGATCCAAAAATAAATGATGCTGCGCAAGAACCAGTTAACCATACAAACTACACAGCTCATGTTTCATGTTTTCCAAGTGAAAAGCTATAAAGCAGAGAGAGAGCTCTAGAATCTACCTATACTTAAATCTGAAGTTCTACCGTAGGGTGAAGACTGAATCATCCTTCAAACACTTGAAACCAAACTTAACTACAGTTGTAACCCAGACATAATTCCACATCAGAATTAATATTTTACCCCCTAACCCTTCTAGTCTGTCTAAGGAATTAGCATTTCTTTTTCCAGGAGGAATCAGTTAGGAACTTCATTCTCCCTGGTCATTTTATATATAATATTCACATATAATAAAAATTACAGGATATTCAAAGCATCACTAAAATGTGACCCACAGGCAAGAAAAAAAGTAAAAATGAACCCACAGACAACTTACTAGCATGAGCAAGAACTTTAAAACAAATCTTAAAAAATATGTAAGATCCTATATATAATATTAATGTATATACTCTCATATAGAAATATTCATTAATATATTTCAACAGAGAAGTAGAAATTCATAAAAAGAGCCAAGCAAATTCTCAAACTGAAAAATATAACATTTGAAATGAAAAGTTCAATTAATTGGCTTAATAACATATGAAATATAGAAAAGATCAATGAATTCAGAGGGATCAATAGGAATTACCCAAACTAAAGCAAAAAAAAAAAAAAAAATTAAAGAAACAGATCAATTGAACCACTTGTTCTACTATTTTTACCCCTTTCCACTACTGCACTTGACTAGTTTAAAATAATTAATAAACAGATAGACAGATAGATAGAAAGAAATAAGCCTGAGCAAGAGTGAGACCCTGTCTCTACTAAAAATGGAAAAATTAGCCAGGTATCATGGCGTGTGCCTGTAGTCCCAGCTACCCAGCTACTCAGGAGACTGAGGCAGGAGGAATCCCTTGAGAGCCCAGGAGTTTGAGGCTGCAGTGAGCTATTATGATGTCACTGCATTCTACCCAGGGTGACAGAGGGAGACTCTGTCTCAAAAAAAAAGGAAATTGAACCCCCCTTCCTACTCCCTCTTCATAAAAATAAATAAAGTTAAAAAAAAACAAATATGGTCAACTGATCTTTGACAAAGAAACAAACACAAGCCAATGGAGAAAGGATAATCTTTTTCAACAAATGGTGCTGGAACAACTGGACAGCTACATGCAAAAAACAAAACTGAATGTAGACACAGATCTTGTATCTTTTACAAAAATTAACTCAAAATGGATCACATATCTGAGTATAAAGCATAAAACTATGAAACTCCTATAAAATAGCACAGGGGGAAATCTTGTTAACCTTAGCCTTGGCAATGACTTTTTAGGTACACCAACAAAAGCACAAATCATGAGAGAAATAATTGTTAAGTTGTACTTTATTAAAATTAAAAATCTCTACTCTGTAAAAGATACTGTTAAGAGGATGAAAAGACAAGCCACAAAACAGAAAAATCGTTGCAAAACAAATGTGATAAAGAACTGGTATTCAAAATATACAAAGAACTCTTAAAACTCAATGATAAGGAAACAACCTATTAAAATGGACAAAATGGGGAAAAGGTCTAAACAGACATCCCACCAAAGATCATATACAGATGGCAAATAAAGATATGAAAAGATACTCAAAATCAAAATCATATGTCATTAGGGAACTGAAAATCAAAACAATAAGAGAGTACTACAGGCCGGGCGCTGTGGCTCACGCCTGTAATCCTAGCTCTTGGGAGGCCGAGGCGGGCGGATTGCTCAAGGTCAGGAGTTCAAAACCAGCCTGAGCAAGAGCGAGACCCCGTCTCTACTATAAATAGAAAGAAATTAATTGGCCAACTGATATATATATAAAAAAAATTAGCCGGGCACGGTGGCGCATGCCTGTAGTCCCAGCTACTCGGGAGGCTGAGGCAGAAGGATCACTCAAGCCCAGGAGTTTGAGGTTGCTGTGAGCTAGGCTGACGCCACGGCACTCACTCTAGCCTGGACAACAAAGCGAGACTCTGTCTCAAAAAAAAAAAAAGAGAGTACTACATACCTATTAGAATGGCAAAACAGTGACATCACCAAATGTTGATGAGAATGTGGAACAACAGGAATTCATTCACTGCTGGTGTGGATGCAAAAGAGCCCAATTTGGAAGACAGTTTGTCAGTTTCTTACAAAACTAAACTTACTTCTACCATATAATCCAGCAATAATGTATTTACTCAAGTAAGTTGAAAATGTATATCAACAAAAAAACCTGCACACAGAAGCCAGGCATGGTGGCATGCAGCTGTGGTCTCAGCTATTCAGGAGGCAGAGGCAAAATAATTACTTGAGCCAAGGAGTTCAAGGCTATCCTGGGCAACATAGCAACACTCCACCTCTGAAAAAAAAAAAAAAAAACAAGACCAAAAAATAAACCTGTACATGGATGCTCACAGTAGCTTTGTTTATAAGTGCCAAAAGCTGAAAGCAATCAAGATGTCCTTCAAAAGGTGAATAAACAAACGCCGGTATCCATACAACAGAATATTATTCAGCAATAAAGAGAAATGAGCTACAAAGCCACAAAAAGACACAGAGAAATCTTAAATACATATTGCTAAGTGAAAGAATCCAACCTGAAAAGCCTACATACTATATGCTTCCAGCTTGACATTCTGGAAAAAGCAAAACTTTGGTGATAGCAAAAAGATTAGTGGTCACCAAGGATTGGGGAGTAGGGTAGAGAGATGAAAAGGTAAAGCACAGGAGATTTTTAGGGCACTGAAACTATTCTGTATAATACCATAATGGCAGAGACATGTCTTTCATTTGTCAAAACGCCTAGAAGGTACAACACAGAGTGAACCCTAATGCAAAACTACAGACTTCAAATAATAACCATGTATTAATATGGCTCATAAACTGTAACTAAGGGACCTCACTAACCCAAGATGTTAATGATAGGGGAAAATATGGGGGTAGATAGGGGAGTGAGGAGGTATCTGGGAACTCTATGTTCTCTGCTCCATTTTTCTGTAAACCTAAACTGCTTTAAAAAATAAAGTCTATTAATTTAAAATAAGTGAATTTTTAAAAATTTTTTATAAAGTCATCAATCTGTAAACTTCAACTCTAAACTTTAGGCATTTTACTATATGTAAATTATACTTTAATTTCTAAAAATGAAAATATTTAACAGTCCTTAGATCTTTTACTTAAAGATAAATATTAAAAAGGACATAATACAATTTGTTTTCAAAACTATAAGATGATGTATGTTCTACAAGTATTTAATACATATGTATGTATATAAATAAATGCATAAACACCTAACAAGACATGTACCAAACTAGAAAGAGCACCACTAGGAAGAGCAAATAGTATGGAAAACCAGCACCACTGTGAAGGGAACAAGATGAAAGGCTGGAGGGAGATGTGGGACAGGGAACAGGGTCTTAATCCATATGTCTTAATCTATATTAGGAGAATCTATCTTAATTTTTTTAGGGGATTATACTACCTTTTATTTTATTTTATTTTTTTTTTTTTTTTTGAGACAGGGTCTCACTTTGTTGCCCAGGCTAGAGTGAGTGCCGTGGAGTCAGCCTAGCTCACAGCAAACTCAATCTCCTGGACTCAAGCAATCCTCCTGCCTCAGCCTCCCAAGTAGCTGGGACTACAGGCATGTGCCACCATGTCTGGCTAATTTTTTTTCTATATATATTAGTTGGCCAATTTATTTCTATTTATAGTAGAGATGGGGTCTCGCTCTTGCTCAGGCTGGTTTCAAACTCCTGACCTCGAGCAATCCAACCGCCTCGGCCTCCCAGAGTGCTAGGATTACAGGCGTGAGCCACCACACCCGGCCTATACTACCTTTTAAATGCAGGCTTTAGAATTTGAAGAATTTCAAAATGTTTTATAAATCTTTAAGTGTAAACAGCGTTGGCATAAATTAACATTGGAGACAGATCTTTATCTGTAAATATTTCTGTACCTATAAGGAATTTTAAATCACTCAATAGTGACTGACGAGACAAGGAACAAATACTACTTACTGATTCTTACTTTGTCAATACTTTCCTCACTACAAAAACCCTTCTGTTTCATTACTTAGCTGACTCTTGAGACTCTAAAACAAACAAAAATCCTAGTGCAGAGTCTGACACCTCAATTTATATAACTCACATTATCTAATTCATATTATAATAGTGAAGTTGTAACACAACACCCAACAGCATCCAGTATTTCAGAATATGCAAGAAAAATTGACCTAAGATATGCTTTTATGACATGGATAAACTAATAATGTACCAAACCATTAAAACTATCCATGCTTACTTATCCATTCCTTCCATGTTCTTTTCCACAATTCCTTTCTCTAGAGAAAATTTAAACTTCTATTCTGTTTACTTAATACAACTGTTGTTATAGACTGAACTGTGTTCTTCTAAAATTGGTACATAAATGGCTTCATCGGCAATGTGACTGTATTTGGAGACAGGACCTTTAAAGAAGTAATTACAGTTAAGTGAGGTTATACGGGTAGAGTCCTACTCCAACAGGACTGTCGTCTAAGGATACCAGTTATAAGTAACAAAAGGGAGAGATACCAGGG